GAAATGTATTGCTTGGGGCACCTGGGTGGCTGAGTTGGTTAAGTGTCCAACTCTTGATTTTGGCTCAGGTCATGATCTCAGGGTCGTGAGATCAAGCCCTGCATTGGGCTCCATGCTGAGTGTGGAGCCTGCTTAAGATTCTCTCTCTCCCTCTCTCTCTGCCCGCCCCCCCCAACGCCCCAGCTCGTGCACGCAAACTTTTTCTCTAAAAATAAAAATAAAAAAATAAAATAAAAAAATATATATATTGCTCAAAAAATGTATGGCTCAATTCTCAAACATTTGAGAATTTTATTATTATTTTTTGTTATTGATTTCTAGCTTAATTCTGTTCAAAGAACATACTCTGTATTGTTGAGACATGCTTTATGGCTCACCATATCATTGATATTCATGAAGGTTTTTGTGTACTTGAAAAGAATGTGTATTCTGAATTTGTTGAATGCAATCACTTATTTTATTTTACTTTATTTTATTTTTAGAGAGGGAGGTGGGGAGGGGCAAAGGGAGAGGGAGAAAGAGAATCCAAAGCAGGCCCCATGCCCAGTGCAGAGCCTGATACCAGGGTCAGTCTTACAGTCCTGAGATCATGACCTGAGCCAAAAGCAAGAGTAGGACACTTAACCAACTGAGCCACCCAGGTGCCCCAAATGCAATCTTTTAAAATATCAGTGAGGTCAAGGAATTAAGTTTGATAGTCAATTGTTTAAAAATATGTTCTAACTAATTTTTGTCTGCTTGTTCTGTTAGTTACTTAAAGGGATGAATTAAAATCTCCCCCAAACAATTGTGGATTAGTTTATTCTTTTATTGTTGTCAATTTTATTTTCATATTTTGATGCTATCTAATTAATTGCATATACATTTAGAATACTTATATTTTCTGATCATATCAATATGAAATATCTCTCTTTATTTCTAGAAATGTGCTTTCATTAAAGTCTACTTTCCTCTATCAAGAAACATTTTCTTTATAATTGGTGTTTATATAGTATAAATATCTTTCTACCTTCTTACTTACAACCTTTCTATATCCTTATCTTTAAGGAATGCTTCTTATAAGTAACACACATTTCATATTTCCTTTTTATTTTATTTTTCAATCTGACAGTCTTTTTTGTAATTGCAGTATTTAGTATATTTATCTTTAATGTAAATACAAATATTTTCATATTAACATATTACTGTTTGTTTCTTATTTGTTATACTTCTTTGGTTTCTTTTTCTCTACTTTCTTGACATTTTCCAGGATTAATTAAATGCATATTATTATTCCATTTTCTTTTCTGTTAGCTTTCTAGTTAAACATTCTTTAGCTCATCTTATAAAAGTTACCCTAAATTACAACATGCTTCCTTAATTTATTAGATTTCTAATATAGATTAGTGCTTTATGTTTACTGCCACCCTCCCGCTCCTACAACTTGACTGTTGTTCTCAAACATTTTATTTATCATACATTTTAAAACCCACAAGGTATTGCTCTTACTCTTTTATAAAGATAAGCTTCCTTTAGTCATCCACATATTTACTTTTTCCATTGCCCTTTCTTCCTTCTAACATCTATTAGTTTCCATATGGGATCATTTTCTGTTTGTCTGGAGCTCTCCACTATTATGAGTCTGTTGCCAATGGAGTGACATTTTGAAATGTATTCATTTTGCTTTTATTTTTGAAGGCTATTTTCACTGGGTAAAGATAGTGGAAATAGGCATTTTAAAGCTCTTTGGAGATATCCCATTGTCTTCTGGCTTCTGTTATTTCAGTTGAGGAGTAAGTCAGTCATATTGTTGGTCATTTGAGATAATGTGTTTCTTCTCCAGCTGCATTGTAGATTTTTCCCTTTCTATTTGGTTTTCAGTAATTTGACTGTGATGTCCTCGATATGTTTTTTTTGGATAAGGTTATATGAAAGTCTGTGTCTAAAACCTACAATATATTGATCTATTAGGTCTGTTTCTATTATTTTTTTCTCTTGGTCTTCACTCATTTGGTCTTTTCTCTTGGTATATCTGATGTCATACCAGATACTTTTTAGGGAAAAGCTCTAGAGAAAATTTGAGTCTCTAGATTTTGTGAACATCCTAGAGAAAACACTTACCTTTGCTTGTGGCAGGCAGTCAGGCTAGGAGCAAATAATTTTAACCAAAATAGGAATTTGTCATTTTGAAGTTAATGTTCAGTTTTTTCCAGAGCTAGCCTTTTTTGGGCTGGTGCTTATTCATGGGTTGCAGCCCTACAGCTGTCCCATCTGAAATCCTGGGTTTTTACCAGGATTCTTCCTTCACGGTGTGCCTTGAATATTAACTTTGGTCTTTCTAGTCCTTTGAGACTGCCAAAACTCTGCTCAGTGCTGGGTACAAATCAGCAAATGTGTTGAAGGGAAAAGCAGAGGTGAATGTCAAGCTCATATTCTCTTGTTGATCATGGCTTTTCAAGCTGTGGTTATGTTGATAGGTCTCTAGTGCTTTCAAACAGATCTGTAAATATATACTTTAATTAGCTTTTGAAGTTGTATTGTGTGAGCAGGGAGAGTTGTTTTGGTAATAGCTGGTCTATCATAGTTGTAGAAGGAGTGGCAAAGTTCATACTCTTAGTCACTGTTGTGTGCTACCTCTTAGACAATTCAAGAGAAGACCCAGTCCTTGAAGAACTTAAATCTAATTTGGAGAAAAAGTCATAGAGAGAACTCTTTTCCAATTGTAGAATATTATAATAGGGTTATACACTCAATTAAGTTAAAAAGATTTGGGAACTCTTTGAGACCGTGGACCATGCTTAATTTTTATGTCCTAAGTAAATGTTTGATAAAATTTGTTGAATTGAATAGACGTGAATACAATAATCTAGGAGTTTAGAATAGACTTAAAGGATTGTGTGAGCTACAGCATCTGGACAGGGTTGACTAGATCATAAAGGGAGAATTAAAAGGTTTGAGCTGATTGAGGGAAGAAGAAATTAAGTTAGAGGAGAAAACAAGGACTAAGCCTAAAGATAAAGCTGGCAGGCATAGGAGACAATGAGGATACCAGCCTATCTGAAGCAAAGGATTTGTTTTAGCAAGTAGGTACTGTATGGATGGAGTGGAGTCATGTGGTGGGAAATGGTGAATACCAGATTGTGGGATGTTGCTTTTCTTCTATGGGCAAAAGGGTTTTCAGACTACTTCCATGGAATGTTCATGGAAGTTAAGCCAAAAGAAGAAATAAATAAAAAAGACATTGAGGTTTGGAAACATTGGTTTAAGAGATTTGTTTACGAGAAGATTTCTTTGAACTCTGAAAGTATGCATTGTGAATTTCCAAAATTGTTCAAACTCAGCATGCTTTTGCTTATAAAGGAAGAGCACTTCTTGGAACATATTTTGGGAAATTAGGCTATGTGGGCATTGATGAAACACTGGCTGGAATGTTAGGAGAGCATGAAAGGCCCATGAAAGCTGGGGATTTTTGGCATTGTTCACAGTTCTCCTGCTTGCTCTAAGAAGAACATGTAACCAAAGTATCTTCTCGGTATATATTAACTGAATGAATTATTGGCTTTAGCAGATGAGTAGAAAATGAGATCAGGATGAAGTCAGTTTTTTAGCAAGAATAATCTGATAATAAAATATAAAGTAGACTACAGGGGAAAGAGGCTAGAAGCTGAAATGCTGAAAAGAAGATATTAACGTTGTCCAGACCTAAGTTTTTTTCTTGGACTGTGGTGACATCCTTGAAAATAGAAACTGAAATGAGTAACAGTGATTTTTTTGTAAAGAGAAATGACAAGATTTGGTGATAGTTGCAGGAGGAAGTAAGTTCTCAAGGTACTCAAAGAGTTTGTGTGGCTCTGAGGATGATGGAGTCACTGTAGGGCAGAAGGAATTTCTTCATTCTGTTTTCTTCACATAGCCTAATGATCTGATGGATGGGGTCATGAAGGAAGTATCCAATCCATGAAATTTTACTTTACATTTGAGAACTTTCTGTGTAGAAAAATATCACAAGTTTTGAAACAGTAAAGGTAGTGATGGGAAAGAGTTTGAATGAAAGATACAGAGAAAAAACCCTATTTTTAGAAATCACACTGAATTTGACTGAAAACAAATATGTTGTGCAGAGATTCTGACTTAGCCCACAAGGCCACTTTTCTGCCAGCTCATAAAACTTTTGAAATTTATGGTAATGAAGATTGGGTAATTATTTTGAGCTACTTCTTTTCCAAAAGAAAACAGAAAGTTTGAGGACTATCAACAAGAGGGCCTTGGATTTGGGGCATGAATAGGTTATGAGATTGGAAATACATGTTCTGTCTGGTCTAGACACACTGAGGGTCAAAACCTAGGTGAACCCAGTCTACCACCATCACCCTCTGTTTCTGATCAAATCTAGCGAGTCCCAACGGAGCTAACTTCGTCAGCTCAGAAGAAGCAATAGATGTACAGTCTTCAGACTCACAGACTTAGATTTAAATCCTAGGGGGATTAAGTTGCTTCTTACGTTTTAGTCTGTTTGTCCAGAAAGTAAGAATAGTAATTATCTCAGAGGATAGTGAAGACTAAATAAAATATAAAATAACTTCTGTAGGTATTATGCATGCAAGTATACATGAATAAATGAGTACTGTGTGGTAGTCTCTTACGTACACCTTCTACCAACCAACCAGATTTTCTTTCCATCTAAAAAATCATATATCCATTACAATTACTAATATTAATATTATTTATGTTAACCTAGAGATCTTGAGAGATGCTACATTTGTGATGATGACAGCTAGGGTGATAATAAAATTGTTGTAATACCAATTACAGAAAACTATTCAAAAATATTTTCAAAGGTTTTACATGAGAAGTATGGTAATTATAAGGGTCAGTGCTGGTGGGGCTGGAAAAAAATTTGTCCCTCCTGGGAAAGCTGTAAGTACATAGGTGGTAATATTAGGAATCTAAATGAAGTAAATCTAAATAGCAAAACACAGTTTTCGTTCATGTAACTTAACATCTCTTGTCCATTACGCCAGTGAGAAGAAGCTCATTATGGAGGCCCTTAATAAAAATCAGTTTCTAAAGAGACTGGATCCTCAGCAGATCAAAGACATGGTGGAATGCATGTATGGGAGGAACTACCAGCAAGGGAGTTACATTATTAAGCAAGGAGAACCAGGAAACCATATCTTTGTGCTAGCAGGTGGGTTTCACGGATTTTTCCAGTTATCATCTAACAAATATTTTGCCTATTGTCTTATTATTTTTTTCAAACATTTATAAAAATGCAAAACCAGTTGCTCTGTTTATACAAAACATAACAGAATTTGAGTTCATGAAATAGTAACATTGTTGATCTAATCATACTGGTGATAATATTTACTGAATGCTTTTTATGCACTTAATAGAGAGATCTCATTTCATCGTCTCACAAACTCTGTTAGGCAAGTGCTATTTTCTCCATATTCCTAACGTGGACTCTGTCACAGAGAGGTTAAGTAACCTAAGAAAGGCCACAAAGCTCCTAAGTGGTGGAGGTAGAATGCAAATGTAGGCAATCTGACTTGAGTCAGTACTTTTAATCACAGTGCCACTAACTCAACAACTGCAAAAAGATGTTTCTATTCAAAATATCGCTGCTTCTGTTGACATTTTTAGGTTGTTATAGCAGGATAAAGAAAACAGTTATTTTTGTGGTTCTGTGAAATATTTTGGTTATATACGAATGACTTCAAAAGATAATTTAGGTACATGTAAGCACATAGGAATCAAATGGAATGCCTTAAGATTAACACTGGTGTTTTTAGAACCATTTAAATGGTTTTCTACGGGGCGCCTGAGTGGCTCAGTCGTTAAGTGTCTGCCTTCGGCTCAGGTCATGATCCCAGGGTCCTGGGATCGAGCCCCGCATCGGGCTCCCTGCTACGTGGGAAGCCTGCT